AAATAATCATGGTGGAGCGTTTGCAATATGCATGAGAGAAAGAATCAACTTTTCTGGAATCCACCGCAAACTGAAAGTGGTAAAATKGTGTTTCAGTCAATAATTCAACTTTTAAACTCGCTGCTCCATTTTCTGTTTTTATCATATATATATTTGCTAACCTTCATTTTCTTTTAAAAGAGTTGGATTTCTTATGGTCAAGACACAAATCCTTTAAACGTCACAGAATCTAAGAAAGTGTTTCTCAGTGATCGTGATATGGTGGATTTTACTTTTTGTAAGGTAMGCATCTATTGTTCGCCATGAATTTAGACACACCATGCGCATGCGCACTGCAACTTAAGGCTGATTTACACGGCACGATTGTCTCGTGCGATTAGTAGTATACGACTTGAATCGCGCAGTCTAAATGCCCCTACGACTTGTCTACAACAGTCGTCCGCAACCTACAACTTGTAGTAGGATTTTGAACCACTGCTTAAAATCCTACGACTTGTAGTAGGAAAATCGTATACTACAAGTCGCGCGTGACAAATCGTACTGTGTAAATCAGCCTTTAGTAAACAATCATTAGAACAAAAGAGCTCAAAGTTCTGAGTGCTACATTGCTGCCCTCTTTAAACAAAGCAAATTCACAGAGACCACAGTACACACTGYTCAGCACAGCAGCTTTATCAGTAAAGTAAACAAATAGCTTGAATAGATTAAAAAGAAAAGAAAAGTCTTGTAACTGAGGAGGTTTTGCAACAAAACGAAACTAGTTTTACAGACAATACAAGCTGATCGTGCGTCAAGACCGAAAAAGTCAAGCCTTAACATACTTGAGGAAATCAAGATGAAATTAGATTAAAACGTCCAACACAGTTTTGTCCCCATGTAATCACTGTAGCTATAGCGGTACTCAATGTTTATCAAAAACGCATTCTATGAGTCAAAATGGCTTTTCACAAAAAAAAATTTGTTCGCAGATGAATAACAAAGGTTTACGTCACATTTAGAATTTGCGCACGGAAATTATGACTAGACTAAAAAATGTACAAATCTTTCACAAAAAAAATGAATTTGATGAGTTTGTTGTTTTTCAGGAAAAAAAAGCAAAACAACGAAAAACTAAAAACAAAAAACAAAACAAAAAGAAACAAATAACAACAAAAATCTAATCAGTGTCACATGGACGGCACTGCACCCCCCCCCCCCCACCTTATAATTTTCAACTTTTAAATGTAATTTTAAATTTTTATGTGCACATCAATTTTCAAAGTGCTACCCCCCCCTGATAATTTTAAGCTTCAAGTATTAATGATATACGCCGACGATAGCTTGTGGGCCTAACTGTGTGTTATAACCTCTGTACGATTATCGCACAGAGGGTCAATTTCACAAATAACTTCTTCTCGCCACCCGTCGTTATGGTTACTGCAAGTTACTACAGCAACGACTCCAGACCAGTGATGCAGACATGCAAGGCGATGATCACGTGGATTAAGGTAATAGTTAGCGCAGCTTTGTGTCCGTTGATATGACATCAATACAGCAGGTGGTCACCGTCTRTTCAACGGTCACTTTCCTAAGTCAATAATTTTCCTCCTCATCTTTACTCTTATTAGAACMCTGTTATGCCGTCAAGGCACCATAAACACGCACCAACTGGATAACTTGCATTGTATTTCACCTTACTCAAGCCGTAACCTAGAAAACTGATTGATCGATGCCTTATTGATGCACTATTTCCGAACATTGTTTCAACAGTTTATATTAAACTTACATACAATTCTCGGTTCTGATTGGCTGAAGAACCGCGAATCTTATCTTATCTTACGAGGTATATGTTTTCGCTTTCTTGTTCTGCCCCTAGATGCGATAGAATTGAATATTTATGTAGGTATGATAAAAAAAGGAAATACTACCTTTTTTCTCTAAAAATACCGCTTGTATTTGATGAGTGAACTAATCAATACCACAGTAGTTGGAGTGTGTAATACCAACTASCAGTTCTTCACTGTCAAATGAAAACGTTTCTTACAGAATTCTTTCTTTGCTRGTTYRTATTTCATTTGTTCCATGCATTTCTTTATTTATTTATATAACTGTCATGTTTTTTTTCTATMAGGAAGTGACAACTTCATCATTCAGAGTGTGCGCAAGACAGYTGCCAGGGTCCCAAAATCGAGATGACAAGATYGGTATTAGCTACATTGTCAATGGAGGTAAGARAASRTGAATCAGTATATCATAACATTGAATGAAAATGAATTGACTACATGTAGGCTAGAAACGGGTGTTTTTTCTCCCACTCGGTATATATGATATATATATAAATTCGTACAATGATCGAAATGTAACGAAACTTGGCATGAAGATAGTTTCAAGGTAGAAAAGTTTTATTGGAATTTTGTTTTGATTTTGAGTTACAAGATGACCTGGGTGATTTGAGAAAATGCGACTAGCCAATCAGCGCAAAGCTGACAAGCTTATGTTGTAAACATAACTCTCCGACGGGAGGAATTTGCACAGCAAAACTCGACCCAGTGGAGTAGGCTGCCTGTCATTTTATTCTATCCGAAAAATCAAAGCTAAAACGCAAAGAGAAATTGCAAATCTTTATGAAATAGCTTTTAAATGTCAATCAAATATTTATCGTTATAGAAAGAGAATTTTATCTTAAAAATGAAAAAACAAATAACTTTTTCTTTAATACCACGAGACTCCCCTCCCTGATAGAAATAATTGTTCTGTGTTCTACGCGGGTTCTCCATTGCATGCGAAGCAATGACCGACTTCACGAAGACTTCAGAAGGTCGTTGAAGCGACGTTCAAGTCCAATGTATCTTAGGAGGAACCATTGCAAATCATTTTTCTTAGCTNGCTGGTCGAGGTGAGGGAGCACGTGCTACTGAAACCTCTTTTGATTGGTTCGCTTACCAAGGTGCACCTGATGGAGGCGTGACTGATCGAACAAGGATGGACGAGTGGTGGACTGGTACAAGTTGTAAAACAATTCAGCTCCCAAAGGTATGCAAGTTTCTTTTTAACTTTTAAATTCATAAACAAGATATGCTGGAACCAAAAAATACATCGCATGCTTCATGCATTAATTTGCCACTAATACATGAGATTTAGAAGGTATTTTTTATATCAAAACTAGCCTTCAACACAATCATAACCTATAAGCCAGAGATAAAGCATGATCTGAAATGATATCCTGATAAAAAATTAATAATAGCCAATATTTGACGGACGTGCATATTTCAGATTCGTAGCAGAATATGCTTGCTAAAATGTATCACAGAGGAATATATACTGTCATTGTAACCTAGACATATCATTCTATTACGTAGGATAAATTCCAGACTGAGCCTACGGTAATAGTAACAGCGGAACACATTAGTACTGCCTTCAAACACGATGCTGCCAACATCTGGCTCGAGCAAGTCAACAAGACGTCTTTTCAAGTGTGTTTGCGTGAATTACAGAACTTTGACGGTTTACACCAAGACATTCATGTGGTAAGAAAGGCAACGCTGTTCTACATTTTTTGCTTGTGAAAAGTATCATCCATCTTAAATTTGTTCTCTAGAAATTAGACCATTGTCTTATAAATAAAATAAAATTCCATTTCGTACGTTTGACAGTAATGTCGCTGAGGATACCTCATGATGGTTGTACTTGTATTCTGCTGCAACTAGTGAGCCCAAAACTAAGCACATTTTAATGAGATATCTTCACCGCCAGAGTCACTATACTGAAGATCAGTCTGATTTGCAAACTTTCACACGTTTGACAAGGACGCTCGAATGGTCTCGTCTTTTTAAATTCCACTGAACTCAAATCTTTCCAAAACCCAGAATGTAAAGGATTGCTCGTTGATTTTACTTTACAATGGTTTTATTGAGCAAGCCAAAAAACCCGGGATTTTCCTTCGTTTCCACTATTTGATGCACGTGTTTACATGGACTTAACTTTCATTTTGCTGACAGTTTCTATTTAGTTTAATTACTTTTCATGTGTTGAGTTATTTGGTCCTAACAGCAAATTTCTGGGTCGATTGCTTTGTCATTTGTTAGTCAGAAATCCGGAAAATACAAAATGATATGTTCTTCCGGTCGCGGCGTATGATGACCGATCACCGCTAGTACTATAAATTATGTTTTTGTTTTTTGGTTGCTGTTTGTTCTTGTTTGTTTTTGTTTTCAATAAATGATCTGTTTTAAAAATCTATAGAGTTGGCTCGCGTTTGATAAAGTTCACCAGCCTCTATTCAGTGAAAAGAGACAGATATACTTTCCAAACAAAGGACGTCCATCAGTGAGAAATAATGGAGCATTTTGCAAGGTATGCCATTATCTGTCTTAGTAAAATAATAATTTTGATGTATGATGAGATGAACATTTACAGGCATAAGCTGAATGCAGTATAACATTTTAAGACGATAAAACACCTGAAATAAGTGAAGTAGTTTATACTAGTTTATTATGATGTGACAATTGCTGTGATTTCCAGAATAGATAATATTGAGATACTTAAACAATCCTATTTTTAAATTCTTGTTTATTGTCGTTTTTAGGATGTCAAATACATCAAGAGTTACAGTTTTGTGCCTGTTGTTATCTTGTCGACCAACCATACACAAAGACAGGATGCAAACAAAGCAGTCTGCGATGGAGTTTCAACGTGGATCGAGGTTATGCTCTGCTTTTCACTCATCTAAAACGATCTATCCATCAAAATTTCATTTCAATATTTTTTCTTCTCCAGTACCTAAACACGACAGGATTTCGTGTGTGCGTCAAGGAACTCTACACCAATCAATACGAACCAATGACAATTAGCTACTTGGTATTGGCAGGTAAAAATGTTGTCGGGACAATCGGTTGGTTCCACGATGTGTATCACATGACATATCAGATCAGCTCATATGATCATGTTGACATTGCCTCGCCGATCAAAGGCGACGACAATTACTCTTACTGTTCCTTCCACCTAACATCTTCCTTGACGATTTCTTTGTTATTTTTTATTTATATGAGTGAAAATCAGGCATAAATGTAACTTATACCAATGTAATTTCAGATATATGTGATCCAGGATGGAGATACTTCGATGGAGTTTGTTTTCAGACCAGCTCTTCGTGTGATACTTGGTTGAATGCAGAGAATCAGTGCAGGTCATCACAGTCCCACCTCGCAACCATCAGATCTCAGCGAGAAAACGTGTTTGTACAACAACAGCTCAACGGTGCCAAGGGCTGGCTTGGCTTCAATGACAGAAGCGTTGAAGGAGATTTCCGATGGTCGAGTAAACTGCGAGGGAACTGGACCTACTGGGAGGTCAATCAACCTGATAATGCAGGCAATCAAGACTGTGTTCGCACTCTTGGTGTTCATCACGACTACCGCTGGGACGATGCCTCTTGTGCTGACTGTCATAACTTTACTTGTGCTAAAGGTGTGTTACCATCATCATTGTCGCAATGTTTTTTTCCTTTGTGCACAAGAGGAGCCAATGGGTTCCTGGGAGAAACATATCTCTTTGAGAGATATTTTCAACACTCGAAGATAAAATCCGTAACTCCCCGCGCCCATGTAATATCCTCTATTTCTGTTTCATGTGGTTATAATATTGAATGAAAGATATTTTGTTTCATTTATCTGAAGCCCATCATTTACACCCTCATTTTTCACGAGGAAAACGATTGATATGTGTAGCTTTTAACTTCTATTTCAGTACTTGATATAGACAAGCTTATTTTTTCCTCTTTAGACATGGATGAATGTTCAGTTGATCAACACAGTTGTCATGGTGATGCTATTTGTACCAATACGTACGGATCGCACACATGTCAATGTAAAACCGGTTTTACTGGAAATGGTCAGCAATGTACTGGTAAGAACGACTTTTATCATATAATTATCTATGAAATACCTATATTTCTCCATTTCGTAAAGTTGATATTTTCACTAGTGAAAATAGCACATTCGAGGTTTCTCTATATAGCGGAAGTAGGAAAAAAGGTATTTTTACGGCATAATTTGCTTTCATATACTAACAGTTAGTTATATTGTAAGATAATTTATTTATTGAAATTACAGAGTTTTACAAAGTCATGAATCCCGCACTCAACACTACATGTATAGCACTCTACGCCATCACGGATCACTCTTCTTACAATATGATAAATAAAATATTACATGATCGCTTGGAGATACGGATTTTATCTTATCTTCGATACGCTCACTCGTGAGAGATCTTTTCAACACTCGAAGATAAAATCGGTATCTCCGCGCACCCATGTAATATCCTCTATATAATCATCAGGTTTCTATTTCAATGTATTATCAACTTATCATTTTCGTGATGCAAAGTTCGTGTTTTTAGATATTGACGAGTGCTCCACTTCACCTTGTGATGTCAATGCCACATGCTCTAACGTCCAAGGATCTTATAACTGTCAATGTAACCATGGTTACACTGGGGATGGGTACACCTGCACTGGTAAGCGTTTTACAAAGATATTAAACAGACTATCAAATTATTCATATTTGATGATATTTGTGTTTGACTGGAGTCTTTACCTTTTCGAAATTCAGTGTATTCAATGGCATTAAACTGTTCTGTTTGCCGTTACATAGTTTAGGTCTTACTTTTCTATGAAATTGGGATTTGTTTGTTTTGCGATTTTCAACGAGAGCTCTACGTTTTGCTGATTCTTTGGATATTTCTTTTTTTTTTCTGCGGATTTTGAAATTTGTTTTTGACACGGTCTATCTGGAATTTGCTAAAGCTTTTCATAAGGTAGACCACCGGCTACTTCTACCTAAACTGCGGCAATTTGGAATCTCTGGTAAGCTGCATTTGTGGTTTATAGACTATCAAACCGCCATCAGAGGGTCACTTTTCTGGGTGAGTCCTCTGAAATACTTTCAGTCCTTTCTGGGTGCCACAAGGATAAAATCCTAGGGCCCCTCCTGTTTCTTAAGTTTGTTAACGATATGCAGAATGTAGACACCTCGACATCAGTGGCCTTGTTTGCTGATGATACAAAATGCTATCGTGAAATTATGTCTCCTGACGACAGCACTCTACTGCAATGCGACCTCGATCGTATCTGCGACTGGTGTATTGAATCTCTGTAAATATCCTGTTGAGAACCATGCACCGATCTGATACTACATATTCCTAGATCAAATACCTTTCAAAATATCTATTATTGTAGAGCTCCGCACATTTGGAACATCCTCCCACCCCACCTAAGGACCAGCAGTATCTCTATATTAAAATTAAAGAAGGACCTTTTTGTTTACTATTTGACTTGACAGAACATTTCTATCGGCATCCCCGGCAAACCACAGACTTTCAAGTCTGTATGTGTGAAATGCCATGCCTGTCCGCCAATCTCATCTCTGGCCGACTCACTATGTTGTTTTTAGCTTTTCTTCATTCTTTTTTTCTTATTTTTACTATTTATATTAATTTGTGTTAGGGTCATTTGGTGGAGCTATGCCGGCTCTATTAGGTGACCCGGCCTCCGGGCAAAGTCTGTAAATTAAAATAAGAAATTAATTAATTTCAAAAAAATTTATTCAAACTCTCCGTTCCAAAATTCTCTTATTCAACTGTACATCTATAGATTGTGGGGAATATGCCATCTAAACTAAAAAAAACTTGGGGATATTATCAATTTTGATGTGCTCTTCAAGATGATATAGGCAACTTGGCAACTTTTCCAATTTTAAAACTCGATCCATGCCTCCTGCTCGGACATGAAAGCTGGCAATTCCAAATCATCTTCTTTCGCAACCAAAATAATATGGGACTTTATTAACCTTAATTACTTATGTTTGCTTATCAGATATCAACGAATGTGCGTTCATTTTGTGCGATTCAAATGCTATCTGTACAAACATGCCGGGATCTTACACTTGCAAGTGCAAACTTGGATACTATGGCAACGGATCCATCTGTAACGCGCATGCGTACCGTATGTACATAAAGCAATAATAAACAATACCATAATTCCATTGAATAAAATCCTCAAAATTTAGATCAAGAATTATATGTATTATAAAAGTATTGCCGAGAATATGAAATTCTAGTATGTAAAATTAGTTATTCAATTCAAGGAAATTAAATTAAGCTGTCTCCTCGGGCATAGATTCGATGCTTGAATTATCGATGTGCAATGAGTCAATGCCTCGATTTCATTCACGAGTACATTATCAACTTGATATCAATGACATTTATTCTACGATTTTATCTTGATGTATATGTGTTTTTTTCAATTACATAACTTCTTTCACACAAAGGTGGACTAGGAAATTCTGCTATTCTCAAAAACTACGGCAACAACCAATATTGGCAGGACTTGTCTGGGTTCTTGAGTCCAGTGCTTCAAGATGCGAGTAAGAGTCGTTGGGTGAGATGTTGGAGAGCTGCTATTGATGGATGGGATGTGGATTCAACATTCCACCCCCAGTGTGACAACAAAGGACCRACAGTTACCATTGTTCKTGTTGGTAGTTACATCTTTGGTGGCTATTCTGATGTATCATGGGATAGTAAGTGATTGTTCATGCACGAATAGGATTATTTATTGCAAAGCATTGAAAATATACTATAATAATAATATATGATATTAATATATATTTGAAAATAGACACTGAAAAGCTTAGGGCAAAAATGAAAAAAACTACAAATTTTCTATTTCTCTGTGACAAAGGTTTTGCAAGAACGTGTCTATTTCGATGCAAATTATAATATTTCAGACAATAAGCGTGCGAGAATTTACACGAGACAGTTTGGTAAAAAATATAATAGGTGTGGTTTTTTAAGTGGTAGGGAAACTCTAACCTTTGTATTTAGACTGTAAACTGAGTTGAACAGTTTTCCTGACTGGTTCTTTATTACAACTGTATTACAACTACTGAGCTCGCGCTCATACGACATAATAGTGTGATGAATCACAAGAGGCTAARGGCCTCAATGTACTAGTTAATAACTAATTTACTTAACAATAGGTAAATACAAAAAAAGGATATTAATAAATTAAACCGAATAAATGAAAATAATTGGCTCATCGTAAGAAAGCAGACGATATCTACTTAATATCTGTTTGCGTGAAGTAGAATCGAAAAAGGTTCCTTGCTGATGGACTTACTTACTTAAAAAGGAATTTCACTTTTTCAACTGTGAGATATAGCTAAACAAAAGCCAGTTCGTAGAGAATACGGTGTCCAGGTTACGTTAACTGCAATTTTTGAACTGTGAGATATATAGCTAAATTACTTTTTCTGCGGATCTCGAGAATTGAAAATTTATAGAGAGTTACCGTTGGATAGTATTCTGATCTTGTCGAACCCTCAAAAAATCTTCAAAACCAATAACCCTACAGATCTGGGTGATTTGAGAAAATGCGACTAGCCAATCAGCGCAAAGCTGACAAGCTTATGTTGTAAACATAACTCTCCGACGGGAGGAATTTGCACAGCAAAACTCGACCCAGTGGAGTAGGCTGCCTGTCATTTTATTCTATCCGAAAAATCAAAGCTAAAACGCAAAGAGAAATTGCAAATCTTTATGAAATAGCTTTTAAATGTCAATCAAATATTTATCGTTATAGAAAGAGAATTTTATCTTAAAAATGAAAAAACAAATAACTTTTTCTTTAATACCACGAGACTCCCCTCCCTGATAGAAATAATTGTTCTGTGTTCTACGCGGGTTCTCCATTGCATGCGAAGCAATGACCGACTTCACGTAGACTTCAGAAGGTCGTTGAAGCGACGTTCAAGTCCAATGTATCTTAGGAGGAACCATTGCAAATCATTTTTCTTAGCTCTTGTTTCCTCTAAGCTTTGAGGTATCTACAACATCAATGGAAGAGCTAGAGCAGCTTAGGTCCACGTATTCCAATAGAGTTAAAGCGTTTGTTATTTTTGTTACAAACAACGGTCGTAGTTCATTCTTTGTCGCATTTTCGGCAATAAGCCGCAAGCGTGCTCGACGATTTGACGTTATGTAACAGGCCAGTTACACATTTAATAGCTCTGACCTTACAACGAGAGCTAGAACGGTGACTGGGGTTTTTCGTGTAATGTCTTGATAGCGACTGTTTATGTCGAAACGACTCAAAACAAAATTCCATCGTGAAAAAAGTTCGACTAAATTCCCTTCTGAAAAACACGTGTGTATTTAAGGTGTAAAATGTTTCATGTGAGCATTCAATTCTTAAATGTTTAATTCTATAATCATTTTTTTTAGTTATGTAAATAAATTTAACACGACTTGTACTGTTTATCTGAGTGAAAGGCGAGATGCGGGTTTTTCCTTTCTTTCTTTACACTTTCAAATATGACCGCTTAACAAAAATGYACGGGCTCACTGGCTTACAACCTTGGCGAATTCATATGCAGKCCTGGTCGCAAATCAATCACCCAGATATGATGAGTTGTAGTTCTCGTCGACTTTTTTGGCAATGATAGCTCAATAAACCCTTTTAGCGATCTCTTTTACGCTGTGTTAGCCTCAAAACCATGTAATAAATTCTTTTATTTACAACAGCCAGTGCAAATGCAAGAGATTCGTGAGTATAGAAGACAATGGGAATAGTTTGAAATCTCATGAGTTTTATCTACATTTCTGAATATTTTAGCACACAATTAAGGCTAACACAGCGTAAAAGAGATCGCGAAACTGAACTATTCGTTTAAATTTAAAATCAAAAAATATAGTTTATATGAAACATTTATTGTTTTAAAGTCATTTCTAGTGTTGTACCGTTCGTGCGAATAAACAAAGCCTTCCTTTTCAAATATTCCCTACGACAGGATGTATATGTATTTTGACAGGTTCGAGTGGCTTGGCGTACTCCACTAAAGCTTTCCTGTTCTCACTGTACAACACACGTGGTTATAGTCCCGTCAAGTTACCTGCTGTACAGTATTACCAGTATGCTATATATAGAGGCAGTGGTCAAGGTCCGACATTCGGTGCTGGATATGACATATGCATTGCTAACCACGTATCAAGTAATGCTAAAAGTTACTTCGGTATGTCCACATACAAAGCTCCACTTGGGAGTAGCTTCCATAGTTACTTATTCTACACAGGTAACACTTACTTTACACCGAGTGATGTGGAGGTTTTCTATGAAACCACTATCTAGCAATGAAGCTGTCTGTAACTGAATCAAAAAGGGATTTGTAATAATCCTTAGAAAGATTGGAGCATTTACTTTACAAAATCACAATATCCTTATGAGTGCTGGACTAATTGCGGGGTTTTTTTGGATGATAACTGAATTTCACCCACTATGAATAAGAATTAATTTCAAGAATTTATTATTAAATGATAAATTAAAAATACACTGCTGTATATATATTCCATAATAGTCTCCTTCATGATTACCTGCGCCATGTTGAAAGGTAGCCGTGCCTTTGCATCGAAGCGAGACCAACGTTGAGCGTGCAATGATAGACACCTTCTTTCACATCTGCAGACAATTATTCACAGGTTTCTATCATTGCACGCTCAACGGTTGTCTCGTTTCGATGTAGAGGCACGGCTACCTTTCAACTTGGCGCATGCAACCGTGAAGGAGACTATACTACAATCTTTCTAAGCAAATAAACATAATACTAAAGTACCGATAAAGTAGGTCAAGGCTCAATATATCTGAGTGATTTCATTGGATTAGTGTAACCAAGTAAAAAACACAGATATAAGATAATGTATGTCCGGTGCTGGTTTAGTCTCAATAAAAATATTGAAAACCTACTCGTGTATACGATACGATACGACGTGATATGATATGATATACAGAACGAGAGAGCGTGTTGTATCGGGTGATAAAGATCCGAGGCGAAGGCGAGGTCTTTAGCCCCGATACAACACGCTCTCGAGTTCTGTATACGGCTTATCAAACTGTATAATAATTCCCATTTTAATGTTTTTGAAAAATTGAATATCTTGCTGCATTTCATCGATTAAAATTATCACAGTATGTCGCCGTTATTAAATATTCGTCAAATATAACTGTTTGTATGVCGCCATTGTTTYATGAAACGACTGAACTATCAAGGGAATTTCTAAATGATTAATTGAAAGTGGAATTGTCACATTAGAAGCTTTTTATGCTTACTCCTGAAAATTGTTTATTTTCCTATTGTTTTTTAAAGAATGTGCTTGCCAAACTATAGAAAATTAGAATTGTCAAAGGAATTGCAAGATATTAGGCATTCATTGTTAGCAAAAATTAAATCAGTTGGCTTTCATTTCTCCCTCGAAGACATGTCGAGTCGATTTAGGAGACCTAAAACTCAACATAAAGGAAAGCGCTATTGTTCGGGGGAGTGTTCCACAAAGTATTCAATAAAATGGTCCGCAACCTTATTTTGCGACCGGCAAAAAGACCGTGCGAACAAGAAAGCCAAAAATGGGAGCAGCAGTTTCAGTTTCAAAAACAGTGAGTCATTCCACATCGTATCGTGTCGTATCGTATCGTATTACACGAGTAGGTTTTCAATATTTTTATTGAGACTAAACCAGCACCGGACATACATTATCTTATATCTGTGTTTTTACTTGGTTACACTAATCCAATGAAATCACTCAGATATATTGAGCCTTGACCTACTTTATCGGTACTTTAGTATTATGTTTATTTGCTTAGAAAGATTGTAGTATAGTCTCCTTCGCGGTTGCATGCGCCAAGTTGAAAGGTAGCCGTGCCTTTACATCGAAACAGAACTAATGTTTTATTAATTAGGTCTGTATCAGGAAAACGTTGAGTAATAATCAGCCCCGCACTCCCCTGAAAATATTCAAAATGTCTAAACTCGCTAAATTAAAACGCACTGAAAAATCAATATTGTAGCTATGCCGTTTCGTTTGCAACCCAGTTTTTCATGCTGGGCATGGAATTCCACAAAGCGTTGCAACAAACGCGGCAGAGGGTATCAATAAAAAGCTGAAACTGAAACAGCTGAAAGCTGAAAGAGCTGAAAGAGCTGAAAGAGCTGAAAGAGCTGAAAGAGCTGAAAGAGCTGAAAGAGCTGAAATTCCAGAAATTCCAGAAATTAAGATAATAAATTTTAAATTTGTTTCGAATTACAAGTTTAAAAAGTTTTCCTACAAAGATAACGCTGTCACACGTTCCAGTTTTTGTGTCACCACACAGTGTTGGGTTGCGATAAAGCGCTGATGACCTTCAACATCAGTTCTTTATATCTGATATAGAACTGATTAATAAAACATCAGTGCTTTATCGGGATATAAAGGTCCATCATGTGACCCAATAGTTGGATTCTGATTGGACTAATAGCTCATGAATTATTAATGAGTTCTAGAATGTACAATAGTTTTAAAGTTGATTATTATTAAAATATGGACAATGTATTGTTGTTATTTTTTGCTAGGATGCTATTTTTTTGTCTGTTTTTTTTGTTGTTGTTGTTTTCTCGTCATCTACCAAACCATGGTCAAAGTTGGCGGATTGTATACTGGTTATATTTCGTGTTTTAGGGACTTCCGTCACGCGAGTATGGGTTTACACTCGCTG